ATGAGCAGCAAAAACACGTTTTTAGACCAAATATTACAGATTTGAACAAATACGCACAAAAACATCAAAATTAGCARAGAAACAGTACTATATAACACTTTAGACACATTCTAGACAGTTTATCAGCTAAAAAAAAAGTTAATTTGGGGGTAAGTTACTCTTTAAGGGTCACAGGCCAATTTCAAGGCAGTTAGAAGAGGAAGTGATGAGAAGATAAGTTTATTTCTATTTAAACATAAAAACAGCATTTTAATAACAGCTAAAGGTGACATAGATACTTTATTATGGTGTAGTATTTAAATATATGCCTGAGAAACTTAATATTGCCCCTTTAAAAACACATACCAGGGTTGCCAGATATAAAATTGAAACTGTTGCTTTAAAACTTGAATATTTTGACCCAAACTATCATGTATGATGAGGGAGAGCGTTTTTTGTCGGCCAGTGGACGGGTCTAAGATGAGGTGTGTGTTGTGACTTGTGAACATGCACACCGCTGAGGAAGGAGTGGGGGTGGGGGTTGTGTGTTTGGCAAGAATTTTCTGATGAGGTGTAAAAGAGGTTACGTTTATTTTGTTTTGTTTTTTGTTGTTTTTGTTGTGAACAGAAATTTCAAAACTATTAAATTTGAGCTTTTTAAAAACTATTTATCACATGTTGTATAGACCCTAAAACTAGAATATGTTGATTATTGAACATCTGGCAATGCTGACACACACAGGTTTGTGCAACGAGTCAAAAAATATATAAGCTGAATTTGAATGAAAAGTCATCACATTTCATCTCCACCCCTTTGCACAACAATCACATCCATTCATCTCGTCCACGGGAGATGAAACTGAACGCGACCCACAATTCTTCAGTTTCACACAAAGCTGGCAGCTGAGCGCGAGCGGGCAGAGACGCTTCCGGTGTGCTGCCACGGCACTCGATCGGCGTCGGCCRTCGGACTCGCTCTGATTCCCTTCAGCCGTGCATCAGAATCACATCTGCATGAAGAACAGACTGAGCCCAGCAGGAAACATTACCAAGTGTTAAAGTAGTCAAACAGGAAGTTGCGTGGGAAAAGTGCCTCGCGCTCATAAATGAATAACTGTGCTGAGAGAGGGAGGCTTGGCCGGGACCCGCTCTGTAACCGAGTTAAACATGAACCACAGATAAGTCCACCACGCGGGCTAATAATAGCTGTTTGCTAACAACGACACAGAACAAACAGGCTGAGTTTCCTCTGTGAGACCTTTGATAAAAAACAACAGAGAAACGAATAAACTGTGAGGACGATTTTAGCATCAGGGCCTCTTGGAGCAAGTTTCAACTTGCTGAAAAAAAGAAACGCTCGTCACATCCCACACTTACAGGCAGGAAGCAGCAATGAAACCAAAAATGATCTGATGTGTTTATAAGGGATGTTAGCATTCAGAATATGTGTTTCAGTCTCTGCTTCCACAACAAATGTTGGCTCAATATCTATAAAAGTGACTAAATTACAGCCGTTTTATCAGTTTTAAGCTCCGCTGGCTGTGGCAGCCATCTTGAATTGAGCTAAAAACTTGATTCTGTTCAATTCACCAGATATTTTGTTAACGGACACACAAACAAAAGCAGAAATTCTGTCATTGACTACATGAACTCTGTTAGCAAAATATCCCATGAACTTAGGGACAAATTTGCATGTGAGGTTGACTCTAAGTTAACCCCTAGGTGTAGATGAGAATGTGAATGGTCGTTTGTCTCGATGTGTCTCTGTGATGGACACTTGTCCATGGTGTCCCCTGCCTTTCAAACAGTAACGGCTGGACATACAGGCACCAGTGACCTGACCTGAAAAAGAGGGTAAATATTACAGTTTACTAGCTTTTGAAGCTAACGCCAGTCAAGATGGCCGCCATAAATAACTAATCTTAAAATACTGCCACAATTCATTCACTGTTAAAGAGATTGTGGTATTTACAAAACAAATGACAACAGCTGCTCATTCTGCAAGATCCAAACGTTAGCACTGATTCTTAGAGTTGACCGTTATGTTAGCAAAATGTCAAGTTTATCTGCATCTTCCCAAACAGTTCTTTATGCACAAATCAAACAAATTCAAACAAAGCAAAAAAAAATTATTAAATAAAATGCAAAAAACGCAACATGACTGATCTGCTGAACTTAAAACTCTTTGGAAACTAAAAAGGTAAATAATTCAGATCTTCACAGAACTTGAACTTTAATATGTTGTGTCGTAAAGAGTAGAAGCTGAAATATTTAATGTGATCCTGAGCAAACATGGGCTCGGCCGGCCGAGGTCACGGTGTTCTCAGAGAGGGCTGCAGCTCAGTCGGGTTCCTGCAGGTTTTTTTGTTTTGTTTTAGATACTGGACTTCTTGATAAAAAAAAATACAGGACTCCGGCCAAACTACGTAAGAACTCCCGGTAAGATAACTTCACTGCTTCGCTCCACAACAATAGGAAGGTGTGAACAATCGCTGCTGTACACTTTGTGTTTTTTTAACTGTGCAGCGCCCGCTCACGCTGCAGCTGCTTACATTTGCCTGATCACAAGCCTTGTTGCAAATAAGGGAGGTTTTCAGTTAAAGGGTTTCACCAGGTCTACACACACACACACGCACACACCGACACGCTGTGAATCAGGGAACGTTGTTTCATGCAAACAAGCTGCGAGTAAAAATATAACAAACTTTCACAAAAATCTGTGACGGACTCTGTCCAGCTGTGGGGGAAACTGATGAGTCAGGTGCATGAGCGAGAGCACGCAGTCATTTCTGGTGGACAGTCCAGCCTTCCTGCTGACTCAGAGGCCACAGAGCGGCTGAAAACCACACAGTGAGGCGCTTTACTCATGAGGAACTTTACCCAACTGACAGAGTCAGACAGGTAATTATGTTTACCTCACCTGCCTGAGAGAGGTCCTGACTTTTTAAGACTTTAAAGAAAAGGAAAAACACTAAAACGATACCAAAGGGCAATTCATATTACTCACCAGTAAAAGCTGGAGTCACTTTTTGAATGTTCCAAAACTAAATTTAACTCGATATGTATTCTTTCAACAAAAGCTGGGTCTCCTACTTTATTTTGATATGAGCTTAATTCTTATCTGCAACCAATTAAAACAATAATTTTTTTATTATTATTGAAGAGGTTTGGCAGTTTAGAATTGAGCTTTTTAGTCATTTTATTTAACAAGAACGAGATAAAGAACCTTATTACATGTTTTAAAGTGAGTTTTCTTAACTATTATGAGCAATAAATGTCTTACTTGTTGCAGATGGATTTTTGAACGCCTTTACTTWTAAGAAACAGACTTTAATTTTGACTGAATTTACAAGCAAACGATAAGGGCAAGCCGTAAAGAACCTAAACCGTAGATTTACCGCAGTCGTTCTTTCTAAAACTGGTGGGTTCTCAAGGYCTCAGAGTGGAGGTGGTTTGGGAAACCCCTCCCCCCATAAAGTTGTGAAACTGCCTCATTGGGTTTTTCGGCACAACAGCTGACAGTAAAGTTCTGTTTGTGTTGGTCAACATTTCAACATGCTGAAGACACTCAGCCTCATCCTGGGTTTAAACGAAGGTTCACCGTTTTGGAGGTAGCTGCTTCGTTTCTCATGCTCCACACTGCATCTCTGCATGCGTACACAATCAGTGTTGCCAGATAATTTGATAATTACCTCTTTTTTAGCCACCATTCTTTTATGGGAACATGCACGACAATGCACACCTCATTTTACAACCTCCTCCCTGCGAGACACCTCACTCWGCACATACTGCTTGGGTCAAAATACAATATTCTCAAAGCGACTGTGAGATAATTCTTCATTTCTTATCTGGTAACCCTGCCCAGAYTGGAAACCTCAGCAAATCAATGCAAACCCTTTTTTCCTCATATTGATTTGCGCCAATAAACACTGAAAAATAATAATGTTTCTAAGGATTACTTTTGCGTAAAAAGGGCCTAAAAACAAAACAGACTGCTGCCACTTTAAATCAACTTACAACAAGTAAGATATTAACTGATCAGAACTTGTTTATAGAACCCCTCTTCAAAAGATCTGAATTTTTGAAAGGGTTCAACATGTTTTAAGTATTTGTGAGCTTGGGTTGTAATTGTTGACAACTTTAGATGAAGAATCAAAATCACAACAAACAAAAAATTAACTTTGAATCACACTGAACTGATACTTACAGCATATAAKTGCAAATAAACTGCAACGGTTACGTGACATTCTTCCAAATGACTGCAAAGGTGTTGTTGTTTGCCGTCAGCTTTAACCTGTGAGCTGCTGGAGGGAGTCTAAAACTGGGCTGACACCATTTTTTAAAAAGAAGTCAGACAAAGACTGAAACTGTGTTTTTTTTTTACACTGAAAATCACCACATCYCAGTTAAACTTGTGCCTCAGATCTAATCTACAGCTGCCGGTTTGGTGTTGCAGAACACTGAGGGTTAAACTGGATCCTCAAATGTTCTACCAACTGTTCGCTGAACCTCCGCCTTTCATGCCGGAGTCAGTTTTAGATTAAGATTATGATGAGAAATTATATTGTTTGACATTTTGACCAAATCTTGAAAATAACAAGTGTTTAGTCTTCAACCACTATCACATCAAGTAAAAATCAGACGTAGATGTCTGCTGAGTGATGATTTTCTGGAAGCTTCATTTCATTTTAAAAAACAATGATTCAGTAGATATTTTGCTAACAAACATTAATGTCACAGCTTTAGGCAAAGATCTTGTYCAATAAGCTCAAGATAAATGTTTTGGATGACTCATGGACTACCAAACCACGTTTCAGATGAATATCTGTAAAACTGACTGAGTTGTATCCATTCCAGTTCTGTAAAGTAAGGTGGTGTCGGCCATTTTGAATTGAGRTAGCTCCAAAAGTTAATTAGTRGTTGACATRCAATGAATATTTCCAGCAAGTTTCATTAATTTGTGCGAGACTTTGCTAAAACATATTTTAACTAGTTAACAGCAGGTTTTGTAATTAAAGATCTTGTGCATTTTGTTAGAGCTCAGAATATCTAATCAGTCTCAGATACTACCTCATCGAATTTGAGCTGAATTTCTGTAAAACTGARGGAGTTGTAGCAATTATTTTGTGTTTTTTTTTTTTAAGGTCAAAAGGGTATGGCAGTCTTATTGAACTTTTAACTCTAATCGGCTGTAGAAATATATTTAATTTACTTCTCAAGAGTGTTATTAAAATGTGTCCTGTGGTTCACAAGAGGTTTTACTGACAGATGTGTACACACACAGACAAAAGCCCTCACATTTTTCTGTCACTGATTACTGAGATCAAACTGGAAAGATGGGAATATTTTTACATCATTAAAAAAACAATGATGTCATCGCTGTCAGTTGGAGCCGGGACCAATGAAACACATTCTCACGTACCCCTCTGGGCCCCCGAACCATACATTGAGGACCTCAGCTACTAAAAGGTCTGTGTTGGATTTTCTCACACGTGCGCCTGTTGGGCTCCACGCCGTTTTGCATTCCTGTTGCATTTGCGTAAAAGTGTTTCCTGAAACGGAGCCGCAGTTTTGCGCGCCGCCAGGCCTCGTTGGTCACAAGTCGCGCAAAACTTTAGGCTCGAGCGCTTTTCAGAAAAAAAAAGAGAAAAGAAAGAAAAGAAGCATGGAGGTGGAGAGAGGGTTGTGTCAGTGCAGTGAAGTGAAAGCACAGGAAGTGATCACCTGTGAGAGTGGCGGAAAGAGGCACACGTACCCCAAAGTACTGATGAAGCCGTTCACAGATCCCTCCGCGTACAGAGACACGATGTCTCCAATGTGGAGAAAACTGGACATCTGTTCGGACATTCTCATTGAAGAGCCGAACTGTTCTGCTGTTCCATTTATGACCGAATGACACTCCTCCTCCTCCTCCTCCTCCTCCTCTGCTCCTCGGCTGAAGAAACCCACACGGTTTTACCGTCAAACACCAAGCCTCAGCTTCATCCTGCAACTTTCTCCCACAGCGAGAATGCGACTGAAAAGAAAAAAAAACAGCTAAAAGAGTTTAAACACTGCAGCTCATCTGCAAGAAAASAGCTGCTGTTCTGCTCCAAAACCTCTGACTGAACTTCTTCCTGTATGTCAGTCCGGAGAGACGCTCCTCTTCAAGAGGGGAGGAGACTGAGCTGCTGTCAGAACTTTAGCTGTTTCACCTCCTTCTGCTGCTGCAGGCTTTCAGCTGAGCTGCTGTCAGAACTTTAGCTGTTTCACCTCCTTCTGCTGCAGGCTTTCAGCTGAGCAGGATGGAGAAAACTGAAACTATCATCTGAGCTCAGCTGGGTTAATATTTACAAACTGCAACGATTTCTGCACAAAAAAGATGAAAGTTTTCCTAGAAGATGAAACTTGTTAAAGCTAAAAAAAAGAAAGAAAAAACTTTAATATAAGCAAAATGCTTCAAAGCCAAAGCATAAGCTGCAAAAGACTAGCTAAAAGTTAATTCAAGTTAAAAGTTTTGACTACAAGTAATAAACATTCAATACTTAGATATTAAAAAAGCACTAATTAAAAACAGATAAAAACCAAATATTGCAAAATGCCACAGCTAAAAGTACCAAAAGATTATCAAAATAACAAAAAGCAAAAACTACAGGTAACAAAAAGCTAAAAGTAGTAGAACTGATAAGAGTGGCAAGTAGAAAAAGATAAAGCTAAAGATAGAAGGCTGACTAAAAAAAACTAACAGCTAAATGTGGTAGAACACTTGCTAAAAACAGCCAAATAATACAAAAGACTAYCTAAAAGTATCAGAATGTTAGCTGAAAGACAAAGCAGCCAAAAGCTATAAAGCTAACACTAACCTAACCAAAATGTTAGCTGAAATTTAAAAGTTGCAGAAGATTAGCTATATTCCATCAATTGTACGTTTCTTATCTAAAATTGTGATTTAAATTACAATTTTAGAATTTTTAAGCTTTATTGAAGCTAAAATGTGATAACATTTTTCACAGGAAACACAGATTAAACATCCTACAGGGCATTGTTTTTTACCCTTTTCCTTCCTCCCTTTTTATTATTAAATAACCTCAAAGATTTGTATGTTTGCCGCATTAAATATCAAAGGGAACTGGGCTATAATATCAGAGGTTAAAACAGTAAATTATTCATAAATGCAAAACAAATACGACTAAAGGACACAAATGTGCTTTGTAAATTGACACAGTGATGGGTGCTTTTATTATTTTCAGTAGTTTGTTCTGTTTTTTTTTTTTTTTAATGAGTAAACTGCAGCACTGTTTAAAAAGATTTTTTTGTCATACTTGTGTACTACATACGTTTGAGCAGCAGGTGTCGCTCCAGGTCTACTTTGAAAAACCTCTGTTCACTGCGTCAACAGGTTGTACAAAGTTTCGTGTGTTAAATACAAAACTTATATTTTACATAGTTTTGAGCACAGTTGTCCAGTGAAACCCACTGACACATATTTTAGTTTTAATCTCAATGTAAAAAGTTAAAATAAAGTACGTAATTGTTCTAAAAAAATAAAAGAATCCAAAGTGAAACCAGAGGGAATTTCAAGTTTGTAAAGTTGCAAACACACAACATAGGTCCTAACAGCTGAGTCTTTTATGGCTCATTATAGATAAAACAGATTTCAGGTGGCACAAAAAATAAATTATTTCCTCCACCTGTAATTAAGGGTCTTCTTTATTGTGCACATTAAGAAGAAAATAAAGAGCGAAGAACAATACTTTTTATTCCACTTTTTAGATATTTCTATCAAGTCTAAAATATATTGTGTATTATGTTGGAAATTGATAAAATTTAAATAAGTAAAGTATGGAAAACC